GGCTATAAACTAAGAAAAAATAAAATAGCTTCAGATGTTAATGAAAGATAAAATTAAGCTAAGCAAGCATCATTATTAAAATTAAAAGCAAGACTGATACTTAACCAAATCATAATAACGCTCTGTGACATACATAATTATTCCTGAGTATCAAGCAAATAAAGATGTTCTCCAGGGTTTCTGGCCTTCTTCCTTTCCTCCATACTTAAGTCCTCCCTGGTTGAAGGTATTTATTGTTATATAAATTTCAGTTTAACTAACGTCTTCCAGGCTAAAATCGTTAGCCCACAATCTTTCTTCTGAGCTCCAAATCGGATTTCTAACTGTATAATGGACATTTCTACCTTGGTTCCCCACCTCATGTCAAAAGGCCCATGTCCAAAAACTGCCATGATCTTGCCCCAAACACTGCATCTCTTTATATTCCTTGTAGTCCCTTTCTCAGTAAAATGACCCACTGCCCTTACAATTGCTTAGGCCAGAAACCTCCTTGTCTGCTTTATTTAATCAGTGCGTAAGTCTTAAAGTAGTCTACATCCTAACATCCACTGACCATCCCCCCTCTTCACTCTTTTTTTTTAAGTTTACTTATTTATTTTGAGAGAGACAAAGACAGTGTGAGTGGGGGAGGGGCAGAGAGAGACAGAATCTCAAGCAGGCTCCACGCTGTCAGTGTGTGAAAAGTGAGGGAGATGATTCATTTTCAGAAATACCAAATAAAAGCTGTGCTGTCTAGTTAACGGTAGGTTTACAGACTATTGGAAATATGTATGAACCCCCCTCCCCCAGCCCCCACCCCAACAGTAGAGTCCCAAACCCTTAGACATTTCACTTCTGGTTCTTCGCCTCTCCATTTTGTGGGCTTATTTTTGCTCATGAGCATGAGCCATAGAACAAAGGGAGGGGGGCACTGAAAGTCTCTGCATCACCTCAGGGAATAAATTTGCTCTAATCAGACTACTTTTTGCCTTACATGGGCAAAGGCCATGTCTGGGTAAGTCTGTAGCCTCTGTAGTGCTCAGCCAATGAGGAACAAAGGGAGGGACTTACATGCTAGGAGATAAAATGTCTGCTGTGACTGCTCCGAGTGTGCCTGTCCATCAGACACCAGTTCTTGCAGGAACCTTGATTAAAGCCTCACTTCACTGTGCTCCCAGTCTCTGCATCCCTCCTTTATTGGATCAGTGGGCTTATTTCTCACAAGTGTGGAGCCTGACACGGCATTTGAACTCAGGAAACCATGAGATCATAACCTAAGCTGAAGCCAAGAGTCACCAAGACACTTGACTGAGCCAACCAGACACCCCTCCCCACTCTTCACTTTTACTACCACTATAAAAGCCTAACTCATTCCCCTACACTGAATGTTCCCTCATTAATTAATCCTATATGCTGCCACGTCAATTGTTTTATCTAAAATTACAACCTGATTTCATTCTCCTAATCCAAAAATTCTGTTGACTCCCTGTTATATACAGTACAAAGTGTCTGACAGGGCACTGGAAGGTACTTTACAATTTCCTGTCACTCCTGTAGGGAAAAAAAAATCTGTATTCCAATGGAAAACTATGCATTGTCAGATTAATTCAAGGCAGCTATTTTACAAATCTACAAATGGTAGGTAACTGACAGAAGACATGCAAAGACTCACCTGACTTCCTCCCAACTCTACAGAAGAGTTCTGCCTCCAATTATAATTTATTTCAACATTCTGATGCTTCATATAAAATTGAAAGTTTTAAAACTTTTCTATCTAGTTATTTCACTGAATGAGTTTAATAAAATCCTAAACACATGTTCACTGTTGTATCTGTCGGACAGTCACAGTTCTTTTTACTTTTTTCTGAAAATCATCTTTTACCACACTCTATTCCCTAAGCACCATAAACTATAATCAAGCACAATGACTTGGAAGTATCATGCTCTTTATGCCTCTTTACTTAGACAGTAACTATTTCTGCCTATAAAGTCTACCCCTTATTCTTAGCCTGAGAGATCTGCGATAGCTTCAGTTCCCTCTCTTGCTTAGTCCTCCCCCAAGTATTGTGTACAAAGGCTGCTAAGTGTAATCCACGTGGGATTACGTCATTTCTCCCTGGTTCTTTTGAAAGTAATAACTGGCTTGTGTCCCAAACACCGAAATACCTGGCTTATTATAGGCAATGGATACATGCTTTCTGAATGACAAGATTTGCATACTCAAAATAAAATGAAAGACTGTTACCACTATAAAGAACAGTTGGAATTTCTCATTTACAACATTTCATTTAAAACCAAGGTAAATGTAGTAATGAGGATGCTGCAAGAAGCTTTGTTACCATACCAATACATTTTGGGATTTAATAATAAATGCACAGAATCTAAATATGTAATAAATAGTACATTAAATAGTACATTATCCTTATTATCCTTATTTTCCCTGAAAGCATGCTAATTTTCATCTGAAATTATTACCCAGAAATATTCTTTTTAAGGTTTATTTACTTTCATTACTATTTTTTTTAAGTTTACTTATTTATTTTGAGAGACAGACAACACATGTGAGTGCAAAGAGGGGAGGGGCAGAGACAGAATCTCAAGCAGGATCCACACTATCAGCCAAGAGCCTGACGTGGGGCTTGAACTCACGAACACTGAGATCATAACATGAGCCGAAATCAAGATGCTTAACTGACTGAGCCACCCAGGTGCCCCTATTTATTTACTTCTGAGAGAGAAAGAGCATGCATGCAAGTGCACAAGCAGGGGAGGGGGACGGACACACACACACACACACACACACACACACACACACACACAGAGGGAGGGCAGGAGAGAATCCCAAGCAGGCTCTGTGCTCAGCGTGGAGCCCCATGCACGGCTTGAGCCCACGACCATGAGATGGCGATGTGAGCCCAAATCAAGAGTCAGACACTTAACCGACTGAGCCACCCAGGTGCCCCAATATTCTTATTCTTAATACACATATTTTAAGGTTTTAAACCACACTTAGAAGATATAGCCACTCATGAAAGTCTACACTACCATGAAAAGAAGGAAATATTAATGGGAAATGGATATCACATACAGTATATTTTTCATTACATTTTTATACAAATTTAAAAATGCAACATACAGCATCCCTGACCTCTACCCACTAGATGCTAGTAGAATCCCCACAATTGGGAAGACCAAAAATGGGTCCGGACATTGCCAAATGTCCCAGGAAGCCCCAGTTGAGAAACACGGGTCTAGACAAATACAATAAGCAAATTTAATTCAGTGTGGATAAGCTCAGGATGTAACAAGAGCATCTAATCCATGGTAAAATTAGACGAAAGACTGACAAGAGTAAAATCTAAGGAAAGACTCAAATGATATTAGTAAAATATTAGTCAGAAAAAAGTATTCCAAGCATATCAAAAGCCTAGAGGACAGAGACTATAGTTCCTGTTCTTTTTTCCATAAGGCACTGTAACTTTCCAAGTTGTAATTTCTCCACTCTCAGGGAGTAAAAATATATGCATCTGAACAGAAAGGGGACAAAGTCCGTATGCATAAAGCTAGAAGTTACCTGTATGCTTCTCTCCATTTTCCACATATATTTAAACTCTTCTCCCCACCCCCCATTTCTCTGGACCTAGTCCTCGTTAATGGTTTAAATGATTCCTAGTAACTATTTTTATGTCTCAGCTGTTGCCGAATCTCATGCATAAGAACTCTGTGACTGTCCTATAGACATGGTAACCCATCTGAACAGAGAAGAACAGAAGTGCTGAGGTAGAAAAGACTGAAGAAGCTGCTCAGAACAGAGAGCAGTTGAGCAGGAGAGGGGCTAAGAGTAAGGTGGGAGTTTGCACCTGGTTTCATGTCAACCTAACCTATGAAGTGTTACAAGAAGTTTTACCACATCCAAACCTCTCCTGGAATAAAATGCTCTAACATTTTCTCACTATACATCATGTATCTTCTCTACCACAATTTACCTCACACTGTCTTCTGTTAAAATAACCTGAAGAGCCTTTACTAAATGAGTCTGAAAAAAAGGTAATTCACATTACTTTCCACCCAGTGTGGGCTATGCTTAATCAAGTTTTCCTGATTTGAACTGGACAAACCAGATACTTCTAGTCTCTTTTCCGATGTTCCAAGTCTGCAGATGTACAAAAAA